TTAGAACGAAATCACACATGTCATATGATAGTTATTTGATAGTTTTCATTTTGCTCGAATGTTATTCTACCGGTTGTGTTGTGTGAGAGAGACGACGGTAGAGCATGAGTGTACCTAAGAGGAAGAGGAGACATAGCTTCTTACTCTTTTATCTCTATTTATATCTATCTCTATATTACGCACTAAAAATCAGCCAATCTCGAGCTGGTTCGCGTTTGACAGAAAAGTTGATCGTTTTCGCCTCCGTATTGTCTCCTCTTCCCGAGCAGGAGAAAATAACTAATGAGTACCTAATTCTGATCTGATCCAAAATTTGGTATTGACCAGCATAAGAGGTAAAATACCAAAGAATAATGCCAAAAAATTACATGAAAAATACTTTGTAAATATCTAAAACTGATATTTGAATACCAAAATAATACCTGTATGGTATTGTATTGGTATTGCATTACCATAATTTGGTATTGGAATGGTATTCTGGGAACATTTTTATTTGTATTATTTTTTAGAATTTTACCTCTTATGTCAGGATCATCCATACCAACTTAAGGTATCGAGATATTCGTTCCTGCTCGGGTTCACTTAGTGTAAGATTATAAACAGAGTGTCGCGCACGACAACGAAGCAAGTGTAGTATAAAACGTCAACTGTTTCAACCCCTGATCCCAACAGATAGACCAGATAAAACGATATTTTAAAATGTCTTAATTAATGCGACCCACCTGAGGGATGCCCGTGAACCACCGCTGGTTCGTGAGCCGTAGATTGAGAAACGCTGGTTTATGCCATTAGATAGTTTTCGATATAACAAGAAACTTCTTCCAAGGTACCGAGCCTTGAAAATGCTTCGTTTAAGATATGTATATTGGTTTCGTGTTTTAAATTGAATTTCTGGTACACTGTGGGACGAGGGGGGTCCAAACCTCTAAAAAACTGTCTATGTAGTCCATGGGTACAACTTGCCCGAAGTCCTTCAATTCATAAACATTAGGTTCACGTTTTCTTTAACATATATTCGGTCGACCTAACATTTGACAAAATGGCATTCGATAAGATGGGTCGGCACCAATACAATAATGCAAAATTTCCTGATGTTGTCAGCTTCGATACTATTTAAACCCCTGAAATCGTGGGAACTTATTTCACATGAACTGTTCCTAAACATCATCCTTTGATCGTTGGAATAATTTGACCATTCAATTCGAAACATATAAAATTGTAGTGAAAATTACATTTATATGAGAACATAATCTACCAAAATTGTTACTAGTAGTTACTAGTAGTACTTAAACTTAAACAAATTTCCGGAAATCCAAGAGCAATTGAAGCTTCAGGAAGTACAATGAACTGCGCAAACATTGTAAATTCTAAAAACGAACGGAGCTCCGACAACATTCCAAATTGCGTGAGCTCCTAAAACTTCAAACTGTCTAGCTTAAGCAATTGCTAGAGCTTTAGGAACACCTGAAACTACCAATAGCTTTTCCGAACTTTTGAAACTCAAAACTTCAGCTCTGCAATAACTCTTGGTACTGTAGGAGTTTTCCAGGAACTTCCGGAATCGTAGGAATTCGTAACTCCCGTAGCATATCGGATATCCTGACACTCTGGATACATTCAGACCGCAAATCTCTTGAAAGTTACTAAATACACTCCTGAAACTGCGAGAACCCTGGAAAAGTCAGGAATTGTCTGTGCTGAAGATGTCCAGCTTGGTAGATTACCTTTTCGTGGTGCGTTACCTGCTTTATGATCTACCACCAAAGTCTAGTTTGAACTACTTCAAACTAGGGGAACAAGACTGTTTTTGTAATCAAAGGAACACATCTTGGTCCTTTTTAATTGCTATGCCTTGTTCATAGTGACATGATTCCTAATCTTTTATTTGCTGTTGTCTAGTTTGTAGTGGTTAAGATTAGGATTCTAATGCATGGACATTATTGGTGTGATTGCTTGAATTTGTTGCTAATGAATCCAATTTTGACTGACAAAGGGGCGCGCGGAGGGTGTTCCAACACCAATGACGTCTATATACGGTCTGGGCCAAAGGGCTTATTGGTGTTAAAGGGTGATACGGTCAAAATTTGGTCAATATCAACTTGACGTATTTCTTTCAATTTTGCATTTAAAAAACCTGAACACCCCTCATTTTGAAGGTGTGTGTGTGTGTAGAATGTTGCTCCTATTTTGATTTTGGAATTCACTCTTCAGTTGTCAAAATGCCGTCCAAGCAAGAAGAGCAGCGTATCAAAATTTTGCTCGCGCATCGCGAAAATCCGAGCTACTCGCACGCAAAGTTGGCAAAATCGCTAAAAGTTGCCAAATCAACCGTTACAAATGTAATTAAAGTGTTTGGGGAACGTTTGTCGACAGCCCGGAAGTCTGGATCTGAGGGAAATCGAAAACCGGAAGCCGCTGAGACGACAAAGAGAGTTGCCGGTAGTTTCAAGCGAAACCCTAACCTCTCTCTCCGAGATGCCGCAAATAAGCTGCGTGTATCGTCTACAACCGTGCATCGAGCCAAAAAACGAGCCGGACTATCGACTTACAAGAAGGTAGTGACTCCAAATCGCGATGATAAACAAAATACGACGGCCAAAGCGCGATCCCGGAGGCTGTACACGACGATGCTGACGAAGTTTGACTGCGTGGTAATGGACGACGAAACCTACGTCAAAGCCGACTACAAGCAGCTTCCGGGACAGGAGTTTTATACGGCAAAAGGAAGGGGAAAGGTAGCAGATGTTTTCAAGCACATGAAACTGTCAAAGTTCGCAAAGAAATATCTGGTTTGGCAAGCCATCTGTACCTGTGGCTTGAAAAGCAGCATTTTCATAGCTTCCGGGACTGTCAACCAAGAAATTTACGTGAAAGAGTGTTTGAATAAACGTCTGCTGCCTTTCCTGAAGAAACACGGTTGTTCCGTACTGTTTTGGCCGGATTTGGCATCTTGCCATTACGGTAAAAAGGCCATGGAGTGGTACGCCGCCAACAACGTGCAGGTGGTTCCCAAGGACAAGAACCCTCCCAACACGCCAGAGCTCCGCCCAATTGAGAAATACTGGGCTATTGTCAAGCGGAACCTAAAGAAGACCAAAAAAACTGCTAAGGGCGAGCAGCAGTTCAAGGCAAACTGGCTTTCTGCGGCAAAGAAGGTGGACAAGGTGGCTGTACAAAATCTGATGGCAGGGGTCAAGCGTAAGGCCCGGCAATTCGGATTTGGAAAAGCGGAAGCCTAACTGAATATTTTTCCTGAATTTTATACTAATTGAACTTGAAAAAGAAATTTAATTTGATTTTTTAAATAAACGATTTCACCGATTTACACGCGTTTTCCCTTGACCAAATTTTGACCGTATCACCCTTTACACGAAACAGCTATTGGCAGTGACGTATTTCTATCTGTTCTCAGTATTATGTTGGCAGTGACGTATTTCTATCTGTTCGGAGATGTTCAGCAATGTTTACAACATTTTTGCTTCTAACACCAGCAAGCTGCCTATTGGCCCAGACCTTATATAAATGTCATTGTTCCAACACTCCGAAGGGTACACTCAAAAAATTCCACACGCCATCATCATGTGTCTCACACTTAATTTTGCGCTTATTGTGAAACACATCCATTGCATGTGTGAATCTTATGCTATGAACCATGCCTGAACACTATGGATTTGAATTGTGACACACTTGTATTCTATGTGTCTCATATGGTGATATCAATAGCTTTGCACACCATAGTTCAATATTCTACAATATTCTACTTTATCGACTTCTACTTTACCGACTCTTAAAATTGAAACGACAAATATATAATCAAAACTGCCAGAGGCCAGAGCTTTCACATATCTTTTTAATGGGTCTGATTTGGGATTCGATCATGGACTGTTGGGGTAAGCTGCTGCCGGAGTCTTCGTTCTATCTCACTGTGCCATGGTTGTTCTCATATATGAGGCGGGTTAATAGGATAAAGTGACAACTCTTGTTTTCGATGTTTACCTTTCTGAGCAAGCAATTCAAATCGTATTGAAATGCAAAACACTTTAAATCCATCTGTTTTGAACAGTAGCGTGATTCAATGTGAAATACACTTGAATAGAAAGTGAAAAACTTTCAACATTTCAAAGTTTGAAACACTCTAAATTAACGTGTATAACACATCGAACCAAGGTGAAATACACTTAAAGTAAATGTGATTCTGCATTTAAAAAATCAAGTGTTTAAACACTTCGATCAAACGTGTGAAATATTTGGAGTGTATAAAGAGCGGGACCTTTCAATTAGAATCGATTCCTTGCGATGAAGGCAAGAATGGCAACTATATCAAAACCGATCACTTCATCATTTCTCAATAGTGATGGAGTAATACGACATGCACTAAACGAAGGACACGAGGTATACCACAATAGATCAAATAATTGGTCGCAGTGGATTTAGGTCCCGAATAGAGGAAAAAATGCTGCAGATTTCCTAAATCATACCAAACCTTAACATCCAAGAGTCCCGGGGGACCTCGTGGTTTGCTGTACTCCAGGAATTTTACAGGCGCTGAGGACAAGGGAGCCTCCACGAAGAAATTATAAAAAAAATCGTAGATACTTGACCTCGGTTCAGGCCTTGGCGAAATATTTAACGTTGGCTCTTTATTTAGATCCTGGACAGTTGCGATAGTTCCTGGAGTATCGAAAGTTTTACTGTGGGGAAAGTTCGTCTGCATTTCTCGTAGTGCTACCAATCCTCACAGTTTAGGAGGTTCCCAGGATCTGAATGCCTGAAGCCATGAGAATTGTAAGAGTGTTAGGTGTGGGATGAAGTTTTGAATTTTCTGGAGTTTCAACAGTTGGTTCATTGAGGATCAAGTGCAACGAACGACATCTGGCAAGGTTCCAATGCTTTATTTAGAAAGAATATTGTGACTGTGAATAAAACATATTTATCAAGATTTTCAACGTCATTCTATCACATGAATAAATATTTCAATCGTCTTATTTCAATTCTTCCAGGTGGAACGCACCGGTCAGCTTAGCGATGCACGCTCCAGGTACAGACTTCATGCCCACCGTCAATGCGATCAAGTATCTCAGAGACTGCTTACCAGAGAGTCATTTAGTTCGTCAGTTTGTCACGTTTCATATTTATTTTAGTAGTAAACATATTCCTAAAAACGTGAGTATATTGGTTTATGTTTTTTTTTTCGATGGTTTTGATCAAGTTTGTTTTACTATTGCAGGTTCCTAAGCACGAAAAAGTATTAGAACCACCCTACAACTGTTCGCTGCAGGCGCCGTACTTCAACGTGTCAAGCTCGCAGCTCTACAAGACACAGAAGAAGCTACTCTATCCGGTCAACGTGGGTCGGAACATTGCCCGCGACGCGGCAATGACCCATTTCTTACTAGCTAGTGATATCGAATTGTACCCAAACCCGGGCCTAGTGCATAAGTTCTTAGAGATGATAGTTAGAAACGAACCGGTGCTGCAGCGGAAGAATCCAAGGTTCGTAAACATATTGTTTTTTTTTTCTGAATCCATTTAATCATGTTCCGACGGTAGGGTGTTCCCACTTTCGATATTCGAAGTGGACAGCAGTTCGCCGGTGCCACGGGATAAAACCGAACTGCAGGAGTTGCTGCGAACCGGCAAAGCGATACCGTTCCATAAGCGGGTCTGCTCCAGCTGCCATGGGGTGCCCAAATCGAAGGAATGGATCGCTGTCAACGAAACGGATGGTTTGTACTTTTTTTTGGTAATATTGGATTTGGTAAACTTAAGCAATTTTATTTTTAGATCTGGGAGTGTTCCACATAGGCAAACGGGTGGGCTATTTTGTCCACTGGGAGCCAATCTACATTGGAACCCACGCTGATCCCCACTATGACGAGCGGTTAAGTTGGGAAGGCAAAAGTGATAAAATGACGCAGGTACAGTGCAAGCCTATTGGTGACCAAGGATGTTAGGACCAAGCTTAACTCAAATTTCGCTCCACAGGGATACTCGCTTTGCGTGCTGGACTACGATTTCCACATCCTGGACAATGCATTCCTAGTGCATAAGCCGGGCATCAAGGTGCTCAAGAAGGACCCGAAGCGAGCGATGCTCGCGGCGAAAACCAATCAGCTGATCAAGAAGATCATCTACCCGGAGCTGCAGGTTATGTACGGTACCCGGAAAGGCTGTGCTGTATAGTTGAAGGGGAAACATACGGCCCAATAGTATAAGGAAAAATCAGGTGGTGGTGGTGATGGTGAGGTGAGCTGGAGCCGAAACAGCAGAGAGCTCGCCGCGCCAAGTAACGGTTATAGTGGTGGTGGTTTCAGTCTGGATGGGATGTCCGTCTCTTCGTCCCTGCTGATCTCGTCTATGGCCACAGGTGGGGCCGGGTTTCTGCTGTCTCTTCAGGAGCGACCCCACGTCGGTAGTCGACGGCGGAAGGGTAAACGGAAGGGATATGTCAGACGGAAATAGGTAAGCGTGAATGTGAATTTGATCGCGATGTGGTTTGTACATTTTAGAATGGTCGCACTTTGAAAGTGTGGTAGTGTGTGTTTCTGAATGCAATAATAGACGTTTTAAGGAGCAATCAAAAGGCGGAAAGTATGAGTTTTAGACGCGTAAGCAGAAAGGTGATACTGTCTGAATATACTCTTTGGACTTAGGCAGAAGAAGCAGACGAAGAAGAAGATGAAGATAGAAGAACAACGCAAGCTATAGGCTGTTTTCTATAGTGGAAGTAATAGAGTAACGTTTCAATGTGGTAAATTTTTGTACTTTTATGAAAAGAAGCAAGTTGGGAAATGAAACATTAACCAAAACGATCCAAGAAAGTAGAAAGTTCAATCGTTGCAAGCAGAGCAGATCATAAAATAACCTAAAAAACGTTGGATATTTTTTAATCACTTTTACACTGAACAAAAAATAATAAATAGAAAAACCACTAGTGACAAAACAAAAAATAAAAAATAACCAAACGCAACATTCTGTAGACGAAGATGCAGAGTAGGAATTATCTACCAAAATCAATGCGGAAAATAGAACTGTTTTACGAAAAGCTCTTAGTGTTACCGACGGCAGTGGCAAGGATTGCCTCTCGGATCAATCGACACACATACACACATACACCACGCAACGCAAAAAACCAATAGAATCGTTGGCAGTTTCAAAGGGAATGTATAGCTGTCGCACGGTGTTGAAATTTGGTGTCCTTTTGATAAAGAGTAAAACTAAACATTAAAACTGTTGATTCACGTCCGGCACGTCGCATCTGAAATCAGCACTGAAGCTCCCTTCTCTCCCTTGTGTTAGGAATGATTCTAGTCGTGAGGAAAAAAAATAAAAACCGGTGGTTGACTGTTGTTTGGGTTGAAATCGTTTAATTTGAAATTAAAAAAAAATGTTCCATGGAATCAAGAGATCAAATCAGATCTTTGATTATATTTATTGTGAAAAATCTTATAACATCTTTTAGAAGGTCTGTAGGATTTTTTCTGGAAGGTATTTTTGATTTTTTTGGGGTCCTCTGGGCATACCCAGAAGTGCTTTGAATTTTTCTGAAAGACTTCATAACTTTGTTAGAATGTCCTTGTAATATGTACCTGGGAAATTCTTTCGAATTCCATAAAAGTCTTCTGAATGTTACTGTGATGTCATTAGAGATATTTTATGAACTTCTTTAAGCTTTCCCTAAATTAATACTGAATTAATGCGGTTTTTGTAACAGCTATAATTTTCGGACACTGTAGGTGGCTGGCCTAAGTCGAGGCGCTTAATACATAGATGATACACAAAGCAGAAGTGTTATTTTTTTTTGACGAAAATTAACTATGAGTTTTACTATAAGAAATACTTCTCGTGTTTATTCACAAAATTCACATCAACAAATGTTGATCACTTGTGTAGGAAATCAATTTGGTAAGGCATTTATGACCAGCATACTCCTTCCGATCGTATGAAACAGGTCCAAACCTGTCCAAATCCGCCCGTATTTTGGTTGTTTTGGCATTTCTCATGGCAAAATAGTGCACTTTTCAGGAACATTAATGGCAAATAACTCACCTACTTGGGCCTAAGGTCCCCTGTCTACCGTGATAGGGCTGCCGTCTTAGTTGCAGCTTTTAAGGATAAACATTTTTTATTCAGCCGCTGTATGACAGTCAGACTCTATTTGAGCCACACTTTCATGGTGGACAGACGCTCGGGTGAAGCATGTCATCTTTATTTTTTTTCTTTAGGGTCAGAACAGTTTAAAATAATAAGGGGTTTTAGCGGCACTGGTGGTGTAGCGGTAAACGTGATTGTCTCTCACCCCCAAAGGGGCTGGGTTCAATCCCAGTCGCTGTCGCCGGGATTTTCTGAGGCATAACATCCCTAATCACGCCTTCTTTCGAAAGTTAAGTAATGCCGTTGGTCCCCGCTCCATGAGTTGATGGGTCAATAGGCAGGGTCATAAGCTACCTTTACCAAATCAAGCAATCAAAATTGAAGCAATCCTTGATCGATTGGAAACTGTTTCATCAAAATCAAAATGGGAGCCATTTAAATTTATTTAGGAGAAACTAGTTTGGATCCAAAAGGGTTTAATGGACCGATGGCTATTGGACGAATGTTTCTTTCTCACCATTGCTTGGTAGTAATTAATGACTACCTAACTAGAGAGAAAGATAAATCCGTCCTACAGTCATCGGTTAGTTGTCAGTAATGCATTTGATTGGTTATGCAATGATCGGTTAATGTCAAGCTTACTTAGCCAATCACTTTTCTGGCCTTAATATTTGGTATATGTTGGCCTGGAGCTATGTTCTCCCACCGAAGACGTTCGACTTTTGAGTTAAATGAGGACAAAGAGAAAGCAATTCTCGACTACTTTTTCGAAAGGACGTATCAGCTTTTGTAAACAATGGTCCTTATAACCGATGTCAGTTCACGGTGCAGTGACAACTTATCACTCACGGTGAAGTGATTCGCATTTGATTTACACGGCAACCACTTCACCGTGAGTGACAAGTGGTCACTTAACTTCGTTTTCACCGTCAAGTGACACTCGTAATAAGGGGCAATGCATTTGATCGTCGGTTTGGCGTAACTGTGTAACAGATGGGGTACTCCCTGCCCAGCACTAATGAGACCCTCCTTTACACTACCTCAGGGTCGGTATGCGCGCTCGAATATCGTGGCCCAGGATACACTCAAATATCCAACACACACAACACTTGTTTAGCTACAGGTACCTTTATTCTTTCCACTTTCGTCCCACTTTCTTATTGGCTATTTCCAAATATATCATATTAACAATATGATCCAGTCATGCCTTTTCCAACTATTGCAATGGCGAACCGCAAAAAATTGCATCACGCACCATCTAGCGTTGAAAAATGTCAGCAACAATCATTCAATTACAATCGAGGGGTGCGAATATAGCACTTATTACAAACGTAAGAGTCGCATTATTTTCATTAATTACATTGTGTATATTACTTTAAAATTTGTCTGACATTTCACTGTTGTCATCAAATAAAATAATATGCTGAAATACATTCATTTGAAATATTAAACAAATTTTCATTTGGTTTACCCCTCGTGACGATAAACAAATACATTGGTAGCCTTTTTGGCCACAGAGGTGCTTTCATCGCTAAAAATTTGGTTCGTCAGCTAAGCGAGAGAGTGGATCATATTGTTAATATAGTATATTTGCTATCTCCTACCTCGTTTCGCCTAACGTTTCTTCTCGTTCTTCAGCGCGGGCTCGCTGTTGGTCCTTCCACAGCCACTCCTTCACCTTCCTCAGCTTCCTTCTGGGCACTTTTCACAGTCCAGTCGGTTCCTTTTCTTCGACTTTGAACCCTCGACTTGGTTCGCAAGCCGGTCGCGTACTTCGGTACTTTCCGCGACGGCTCTTCGATCTCTCTCTCTTTCTCCTCACTATACTCGTGGCGTCTAACGATCGATGGGCCTTTGGTTTGTATTCCCGGATACCTTCGTATCGGAAGATGCTCCGTGTCTAACCGCGCCGTATGCCGAATGACGGACACTACGGGGTCTGACCACGCCGTGGATGAATTTCCAGCGGTAAACTACGCGACTCTCCTTCTTCACTTTTTTCACGTCCTCCCGGTTCTTACTGACATTCGAACTTGCTTGAACTTGCTTTACGAAGTATCGCTGTTGAGTATCGCCAATCAAAATGATTCTCAACGATGGCGGCTGACCTATTCTCTCTCCTCCTCGATGAGCCATCGTCCTTCCGCCCTATTTCGCCTCATCATGGCCCCATTATGCCACCTCCTGCCATGGCCTCCAAATCCAGTAAACAGTGCCATCTGGTGGTAGGTAGATGATCTTCCTGTCGTTTAGTGGTGTGGCTGTGTACTGTCCAATGGGTGATTTTGTGGGCGATGGGTGGTGTTGGTAGCTTGTATTCAAACATTTCCTTGGCATATTGTTATACATAAAATACGAAACACTAATCGCGACAATCTCACTAATCTCAGACAGACACACCACTGGTTACAACTGGTAGGTCGCCCACGCATGCTAACACTACTATCAGATAGGGTGATTTTCCCCCTACCTGATAGTGGTGTTAGTATGCGTGGGTGAGCTACCAGTTACGCCAAACTGAAGATCAAATGCATTGTTTACAAAAGCTGATAAGTCCTTTCGAAAAAGTAATCGAGAATTCCAATATTTACACTAATTATGTTCGAACCTAAACTTAGTGTTTACTGCTCCCGACGATAGAATGATCTAGTGTGGTAAGAAGTTGTTCTAGGGATTTTATAGTTTATAGCAGATGCTCATTTCTTATGCAATATAATGTTTGAAGTGATGAATTTATATGATAAAATGTAAATTTGTATTTGTAAATTACAACAGAATGTTGTAAAACATGTGTTTTATATATAAAACCTGTCAATTTGGCTTTCGAAGAGTCACTCATCGTGGATTGTGACTATCTGAAAACGAAATAGACAGGTTTTATGAGTCATACTTAAACTTTACAAACTCTACATATACAAATTATTATTATAATATCTTATAAATTCATCATGCCAAAAAATTCATTATATGAGAAATGAACATTTGCAAGATTGCTTAAAATATTTTCAAATTAATTTTCATGACCTTGTGTGTGTCACCTTGTTGAACCGTTGAGATTTAAAAAAATAAAGCCAAGATCGTGAAACTTATTTTATTTTTCTGAATGAGATCTTGAAAATGTTTCCAACTTTATGAACTGGGAGCGGATCATTTCGCGGCCAAAACATTCAAAGAATTAAGAGCTTTGAGTGTGTTGGTTTATTTCCTTTAAATTACGTAATATTTGCATATCTTTTGACAGATACGCGAATTTCGTCTACTACTCTTAGACTTCATCAGTGCCAAGTACTCAACACACTTCAAAGGAATGGTTAATTTAACCGAAAGACGTTTTGCCGCCTGTTTGCAAAAAATTAGTCACATACTATTTCACAAATTTCATGAAGCGTTCAAAATTATAACGGCTAAACTGCGATGATCGATTCTCTTCATCGATTTTGGGTTACCAATTTCATAATTGTTTTACAATTCAGTTCCGTAAAAGGATGTGTTGGTAAGCTAAAGCAATTCTAGATAGGGCTGGAATTAGGGCCTAACAGCTTTTGTGAACAATGAATTCTCTCGATTATTTCTAGGAATTCAAGCCACGCCCACGCAAACCAACATAACCATCGGTTAGGGGAAGACTTCCCCTACCTGATTGTGATATTGATTTGCTTGGGCGAGCCTTGAGTTTCTAGAAATCATCGAGAGAAGTCATTGTTTACAAAAGCTGTTGCGCCCTAATTCCAGCTATATCTAGAATTAATCATGTTAGCATGCTTCTGCGTTAATTTTCCTTCCGATGTCACTGCTGTTCTTAATGGTGACATTTATCAGAAATAACGCATACACTTAGTTCCGTTAATTGTTAACAGAGGGCAGTGCGGTCAAAACATGTATGGTACCTCTGTATATGCAGTTAGATTAAAATCAGAAGTCCCTCCTTTTTTTCATATTCTGCACAAAAAATACTTTCTAAGCCCGCCCCTGACAGGGTTTCCCACCAGTTTTTTATAAATGGGGTGGGACAGAAAGTATATTTTGTGCAGAATATGTAAAAAGGAGGGACTTCGGATGTTAATCTAAATGCATTTATAGAGGTACCAGATATGTTTTGCAGTGTCAGGTACTCTATTTTGTAGTCTATGAGAGAGAAATGACAAATCGAGTGTCATCAAAATACACGGCATGTTGAGAGATTGAGCTCGTGAGAGTGAATTTTCTCTCTCAAATTTGACTGGGAACTGATAGTAAAGCGGGTTAATCTGTATGGGGAAAAATCATTTTTGTTTAATTGTAGCCAGTGGTGGCACGAGTCCTGGAGTTTAACATTTTTTCCTTAACATTTGATACTTTTTGCGATAACCATTTTGACGACACACAAAAACAAACTGGCAAGCGGTAAAAATGTCATGACATTTTTAAACTGTTTTCTGCCAGCGACAGAACATTTTCGCACAAAAAAGCAGACAAGACCGGCGGCACGCGCGACATAAATTTATGTCGTGTAGAATTTTGCTGATTTCTGGCTTATTACTGCATTTATTTGATGTTTATTGCATGGAAATAAAAGATAAGAATGAAGACTAACCAGTCATAAGCATTGATGTTAAAATTATGCGTAAATAAGGGAGTTGGTAATTTACTGTCACACGCAAGCCTGCAGCTAAAATTTCATTACAATAAACTGTTTGGAAAAATCAAGCTGCGAGATTTTATTTATTCTCTATCTCCGCTGTTCGCTTGGAATGTAGTTATAAACGGCCGCCCGTGTGCTTGCTGTTTTGTTTCGCTCTGGACGATAGTTTTTCAAAAAATGTACTGTTGCCACCTCTGATTGTAGCTGGTTTAACAATAATTTCCGACAAACAAGTGAACGACAAAGTCCATGAATAATTTCTTTAGGCTGTCGTCTTTCTTTTACCTGAATATGCATCGAAGGAGAATTATTCCCACTTCTCTTAGTTTATATATGGAGATTTTTATTACTTTCTACCTGCGGAACAGCGCCATCTCTGTGGAAAATAGTCTGACGATGGGCCTTATTACGGGTGTCACTACACGGTGATAAGGAAGTAATACTCAGAATAAGAGTCGTGATTGCCGTACAAATTAAATGGGAATCACTTCACCGTGACGACAAGTGACAAGTTTTCACCGTGAAGTGACATCCGTAATAAGCCCCGATATGATTAATTGCAAACTCACAAAATAATCTGGTCGAGTTGTTAACAGAAGATAAAATCGGTGAATATAATCGACCATAGAAGTTAGTTCCTTGTGATTCTGAAAGCTAGATTTTGTTCCTTTGAACATTTGTTTATTTGTTTATTTGTTTATTTAATAATTCAACTGACAATTAATGTCTTAATGAATAACACTTAATCTAAATAGTTATGGTCAACGAAACGAAAACGGTCAAGTAACCGGTGACGAAACACATTTGCTGATACGTTAAAGTCAAATTCGCAATAAAAGTAGTTAAATTGTCGGCTGATTGCACGAATTGGCTCATTCTGCGTATAATTTCTGCCTCGTGGCTCCAAAAACAGAAATTCGCGTTGACGAAGAGGTCTCTCAGGAGCATACATATTTAGCTGGGCCAGCAACGTTGGACAGTCGATGTCACCCATGAGAAGCTTTCCAGCAAACATAGCTTGAGCGACCGTCCGTCGCACCACTAGCGGTTCGATGCCCAGAAGACGGCAACGCTCCTCGTACGGTGGCAGGTTCGATGAGTCACGCCAGTTCAAGAAACGAAGAGCATATCTCACAAACTTTCGTTGAACAGATTCGATTCTAACGATCCAAGTGGCTTGGAAAGGGCACCATACAACTGCACTTGATTCTAATATAGACCGCACAAGTGAGCAGTAAAGTGATCTGAGGCATAACGGGTCCCGGAACTCATCGGCAATTTTGAAAATAAAACCCAGTTGGCGATTGGCTCGGGAAATGATGTCGTTATAATGGATTTTGAAGGTGAGTCCGCAGTCCAGAGTAACACCGAGATCCTTTATTTGTTCTACACGGGCAATGCAACGTCCAAAGAGCACATAGTCAAACATAATTGGTTCGTTTTTACGGTGATAGGAGATGACGTTGCATTTTTCGATGCTCAGGCCCATCAAATTTCTCGTGCACCAGTCAGCGAAAATACATAGCATATGCTGGAGATCCCAACAGTCCGAGAGGCTTTTGATAATTTTGTAGATTTTGGCGTCATCTGCGTAGAAAAGACGACATCCAGATGGTAACAACAGAGCGATGTCGTTTAAAAAGATCGAAAACAGCAGAGGTCCCAGGTTGCTGCCTTGCGGGACTCCCGAGTTGTTGGAGAAAACATTTGAATCTGTCGCGCCAATCTTGACTCGTACAGAGCGATTCACTAAGTACGATCTGAACCATTTCACAGCCGTAGACGAGACACCTAGTATCTCCAACTTAGCAAGCAGGATTTCATGATCCACCCTGTCAAAAGCGGCTTTTAAGTCCATGTATGCAGCATCAACTTGCCATCCAGCATCCAAGCTTCGCAGACAGTCAGAGGTAAACTGCACCAGGTTCGTGGAAACCGATCGCTTGGGGTAAAAACCATGTTGGTCCGTATCGATATAATTTTTACAGCACATAAACAGAGCATCATTTACAATAATCTCGAAAAGTTTAGAGCAGGCGCACATGGAGGAAATCCCACGATAATTAGCGACATTCAGTTTGTCTCCTTTTTTGTGAATTGGAAACAGATAGGAAAGCTTCCAGCGGGAGGGGAATTCACTTTGCTGTGCCGAGAAATTAAAAAGTCGCGCAAGTGGAAGGCAGAGGTTGACTGCACATCGTTTTAAAACTGATGAGGGAATTCCGTCAGGACCAGCGGCGAATGAGTTCTTCATTTTGCGTGTTGCGGTTATCACCATGTCTTCAGTGATGTGAGGTATGTCAAAACTAAAAACATCACGTGGCATCCCGGAGGTTGCGACCAACACCTGTGTCGGTGAAGCGGAAAAATCGTGGAAGACTTGTTTGAATTGACGAGCAAACAAGCTGCATTTTTCACTTTCGCTGCAGGCCGTATCATCTCCGAGGAACATGGAACAAGGCAGCCCGGATTCTTTCCGTTTTGAATTTACAAACGACCAAAAACCTTTCGGGTTCGACCGAAGGTTCGCTTCCGTGCGTCTCACGTGCCGATTATAGAGGAAGTGGCTGTAGTTTCGATAGCGACGACTTGCGAATTTAAACTGTTGCTTGTAGAACGGTAAGCGAGAGCTGCAGTACCTTCGGAGTGCGGCGGAGCGCTGACGTTTTAATTTACGTAGGCGTGGGTTCGACCATGGAGGCTTCTGCGGGGGACGTCTTGCTGGGACAGTGCGGAAAATAACTTCTTCCAGCGCAGAGCTGAAACAATCCACAGCATCATTGACACTAGCGGCCGTTTCGATACAGTGCCAATCTATTTCCGCAAGCGCATTGTTCAATGCAGTGTAATCGGCCCGGTGAGCAGATCTTCCAAAGTTCTGCTATTATTGTATTTCTTTTTTTTGGAACAGTCGTTTTCCTTTTTTAAACGCGAGTAGTTCTCCCTTTATAATTATAAAAATGTTGGTTTTGTGGATGAAACATGTAGTCAGACTTTTTTGAAATGGTACTGGTTCTGTACATTGCTGCATTATTCACTTTGGCGGAAATGGTCCCGATGTTGGCCTAAGGATCAACAGATCAGGTCCATCGATAAAAATCTAATTTTTTTATTATTTTTCTTAGAATAATGCGTTATCTGGACAATTACTTGCTATTGTCGGTTGATAATGAAAAAAATGATCAAAATGGCTTAATTTTGGAATGTAAGCATAAGCCTAATATTAGGAAAATTCATACCGATATAAAGGACATCAACCCGTTCATATTCGCCTAAGTTGTTATTTTTTAAGCATTTTCCGTTCTTTAAAAAGATCATAATTGAAATTCGGTGAAATTTTTGCTTTGGCGGAATAACCGTTGGTGATAACCAACCCCCACCCCCTCCAACAATTTTCATGTCTCATACAGAGATCTTTGTTAATTTTCAAAGTCCCAGAGTGTTGCGAATTGTTGCAAGGAATATTTCAAATTCAAACATTCTAATTTAAGCCCATTCGGCCTAATGGTTTTCGGCCTAATGATCCATTCGGCCTAATGACCCCAGACCGACAATACATACCAGATGGTATATGAGAATAGTAAATATAAGACTTCTGAGTGTTTGACTAGCTTTCGACAGTTCACATTAGCGATCTGTTTTGAGCTTTCATTGAACAAGCATTTGAAAAATTGCATAAATTGCAACCATATTAACAGTCAACCACCACTTTGAACGCCTTTAGTGGCTGTTCATAAATCACGTGCAAACCTAAGTCGGGATGGATGGGAGTAGTATTCCAAGTATCTACACTTCATAAGATAATAGGAAATTTGTACGAAGTCATCAAAGTCTGTACCCTTACTTAAAGAACAGTTACTGACTGTCATGTGCCAAGAGAGTGCTGTCATTTTTCAGTTTTAAAGAAATATTTCGGCCCTTATTACGGGTGTCACTACACGGTGAAAACGAAGTGTAGTGACCAGGGCCCTTATTACCGATGTCACTTCACGGTGAAGTGACAACTTATCACTCACGGTGAAGTGATTCCCATTTGATTTACACGGCAATCACTTCACCGTTAGTGACAACTGATCACTTCACTTCGTTTTCACCGTGAAGTGACACCCGTAATAAGGGCCCAGTTGTCACTCACGGTGAAGTGATTGCCATGTAAAACAAATGTGAATCACTTCACCGTGAGTGATAAGTTGTCACTTCACCGTGAATTGACATCGGTAATATGGGTGAAGTTTGATGGGAAAAACTGTTCATCATTTTCTCATTTTTATTTTTGCCATGTGGAAATTACGGTGTCCAGAATAAGAGAGAAGCAAATACGATAGCCCTTATTATGGGTATCACTTCACGGTGAAAACGAAGTGAAGTGACCAGTTGTCACTCAAGGTGAAGTGATTGCCGTGTAAATCAAATGGGAATCACTTCACCGTGAGTGATAAGTTGTCGGTAATAAGGGCCAATACATTGAATCTATGCCGAGGTATTTTCTAGTGAGAGTATCTAAGATAAGAGTGAAGTTCTGGGTCAAATTACCTGTCAACGTCAATCGAGCAGCGCCTATCTTCATTTCATTGGTAGTCACCCGCATGTAATGGCACTGCAAACACCCGTTCAGATTTCGTACGGTTTCAAAATCCGGCATGTATTTAGTAGTTATTGGAAAAAATCATTCATAATTGATTTATGATCAGATAGATCTAACCAAAATCCGTTTCCGAAATTGCACAGGTTTTTTCACTCGCGGTAATCCAAAAATAAATCCTTTCAACCTAGCACAGAATTTTTTCATACTCACGCAAAATTATTGAGTAAGTTTCGGGGTGTCCACTAGTTAAGAAGTTTTACGTTCGTCACACTAAATTTTCAGTGAAATTTGTTGAAAAATAAATCAGCAACAAAAACAAAACACGTCAATTCAAATGCACGGCCTTCTTGATTCAAATTAAGCGGTGCTCGATTGGCTCGGAATTTGACAGTTTGTTTGGCTGTATAGCAACTACTTCGCTCTCTCTCTCTTGTCCTTGGAACTCACTATTATGTACTTTTTCGATTTTTTTACAGATGAAAAGTAAATCCTAAAGGTATGATCACCAACAAACATACTCTTATTTTTCTTAATTCGTCCAAATGTGGTGAAAATTTTAATGAAAATATGAGAATAAGGCTGTAATTTTATCTCATGACAGTGATAAAAGCTGTTTAGTCATTATCGAATGATCATCCTAAAATTTTTCAGCCCTGCCCAAACACGTCGTCTGCCAAACCAAGTTGTCACGATTTGTTTAACGCATGGTTTCTATTAGAGAGGGTCTAGTATAAGAGAGGAGCGGATTCAAAACAGTCTGCCTTGGCAACCTACGCCTTGGCGAATTCTAGCAACACTGCCAATGCAATCAAGATAGGCGCTGCTCGATTGGCTCTGGTTTTGACAGTTCGTTTGGCTCAAAACCAGCCAGTGCGCTCCTCTCTTACACTAGACCCTTTCTAGTTTCTATTATCAGACTCTAAATTCAAATTCTTACATAATGAATCATTGTATTCCTAGTTATTGTAATTCTGTGACGACCATGGTAATGACAATACAAACGTTGATAATCTTTGTTAATGGTACTTTTGGGATATGACAGTCAAACGTTCCACTCCTCCAAAGCAACAACCCATCAACCGAAAACCTTCCTCTTCCAACCATTAGAATATCTTGTTTTCCATAAAATGATTTCTTCTTTCTCTAAGATGAGTGCCTTATATTGCATTGGAAAAATAAAATGAAAAAAGACAAAAAAAAACGACACTAGTAATCAAACGTCATACAACACAAACCAAAATTCCTGTGTCTGTATAGAGAGTATTACCACATAGGGAACCATTTTTGTATAGATATTAGAAATCTCATTCACATCATCCTTCATCGGAATACACTTTTCTGTCGAGGTTCATTTTCAATGACTAAAAAGTAGTCGTCTAGTTTTTTCGTTTGTATATAAACCTACGTTCCACTACACAATAATATCCAACAAATGCAATCTAAAACCGTGCTTTTCCTCTATGTAAAAGGGAAAAGACTTATTCCTCAAACTGTTTGAAATTAGCGTTTTAGGTTAGGTTCACCAAATTCGATTGGAACAAGTGCTCATTTTAAATAGTAGCAACAACACAAACTTATGTGTATTTCTTTCATATTTTCTAGTTGCAGTTTAGTTGTAGTCTTGAATTTAAATTCTCACTCAATTCTAGTGTTCAGTAGAGTGTACCATTTAGACGCTGTTGTTAATTTATGGATCTTTTTCCGCAACGAACCAGCGGCCGTAAGTCATCTTGTATCAAATACAAAAGAATTAGTATGTTTATACACACTTTCGTTGCATGTAGGGTTTAGTTTAGCTAGGATTCTTTCAACTGTCTTTTGTTTTCCGGGCGAAGCGCTGCAAAGTTTTACTACCCATAGGTCTAGACCCGTTATCGAAATTACTGAAAATGAATAGAACGAGTAATTTTTACCACAACTACGATAGCGGCAAAATACAGTGAGAACAACAAAAAAAAAATGCAACATACAATAATGTAGCGTGAGTTTTAAACTACAGAACATTTCATATCTGTCAATGTTATTGGAAATATGTTTACTACGAAAGCAAGCAACTTAGGTACGACTTATTTATTACATTTTTCGTAGAGAAATCTAATTCTATTCCAATATCACTCGTAAACACACCCATCCAGGTTACAAAAAAAGATTTAAACACTCCTCATTTAGATCCAACAAATAAAACACACACACACACATACACATTCACAATGAAAATAAACACACAAATACATACAAATGATGGAAGTCACCAATCAACGCGTGAGCATTGATAACAACAAAATATCTGTGAAAAAAGTGAGAAAACATAGGAAAAAACACAAGCGCCCAACTCTTTTTAGTGAGCGAATCCGTGAAATAAATGTATTAAACAAAAAGTTTCCCCATGACCTACCAAGCTGATGGAAGATATGAGAAATCCCTAGCGCCCATTTCCATCCAGTTGGCTTGCTTCGATTGAAAACGGTCGGAGTTACCTGTATCTACCATTTGTTGCCATAAATCACGTGTCGTCCGCGATAGCACTTATCAGCCATTTGTCTACCTGTTTGTACGCCCGCTATCGATCGGAAATCTAAGCGAACGCATCCGAAAATCGTAAACCTGGAAATAGAAGTCCCGTGCCGCGACAGTTGAGTGTTTGGTGGTCGACGCGAACGGGTGCTAAAAGATTCGCGCAGCCACAGTCAGCAGTAGACGGATTCGATTGCCGATGTTGACTAAGCTGTTGCAGACGTTGGAGCGAGCGTGAAGCTAATGTAGCGTGACGGGCGACGACGGTTTGAATTGTTTGTAGAAACATCCAATTAGAGCGCGAACTTGGGTTTGGGCTGCTTTCGTCGGTGGGGTTGTCCTTGCGACCGACGACGACGTCTTCGTTGAACGTCATAAACCACGTGCTGCAGTTAAGCTGAGAATTGCGAGCAACGCTTACTGCGTTTTATTTTTGTCGGGTAAGTGCACGAAGCCAGGTTCAAGCAATGGAGCTATGGATTTTGGAGGTAAATCCCTCTCTAACTGATTAGATTGGAATTTTCTGACTTGAGTCATTAGAAAAAAAAAATGTGTATACGTTGTGAGTGAGTCCATTTAATGAAACCAGTAATTTTGCGTTGAATAAAAGTGCTGGTTTGTTATCACTGCGAAGAATGTAAGTCACAGGTTGTACGGTGGCCAAGTCAATTGTTTGGTGAGTAATGGAGTCTGATAAGAATATTTGATGGGCTTTGTAAACATTTACACATTCACTTATATACTTGTGGCGTCATAAACGTAACGTTTCGCTAGCATTTTAGTTTTCGGGCACGTATTAAAATGGTATTTATTAGAATGAATTGCTACTGCATTCCAGTGTTATCGACTGAAATATACGTAATGAACGTTGCCTTGTGTGGGTTTATGAAGCACAATTCTAGACCAACAATTGAAATAGGCGGAACTACCAAACGTAAACAATAGCTTTAAACGCAAATTCTTCGATAATCAAAGCACATCTAAGCAACCTAACACCATCATCTGATAGAGCAAACTTCCTTTATCGAATGGCATTGTTAGTTTACGTGGGAGTGTTTTGATTCTCGAGAATTTTGTGTTTAAAGCCATTGCTTACGTTTGGCTGTTCCACCTATTTAAATTGTTGGTCTAGAACTGTTTCGGTATCGAAGTGTGAAACTGTTGTTTGTATTCATGAATGAAATGAAATGATATACCGCTTTTTCCATTTGGCCCCATGTTTTTCTTGTGGACGGTTATGAGACTCAATTTGGAGTCTCTCTGGGAAACTGATGTTTGCAACAAGAAACCTTTTTCTTGTTCGGATTGTCCAATATATTGTGAGCTCTAACTAATACTAAAGATGTTTTGTTATCACCAGGATCCTTGATTTTTAAAAGTTTGCCATATTTAGCATTTTTCGATGGTGGGGAATTTACGTATTCTCGTCAATCCAAGCTTCGTGCTATGAGAATTTGCTTGGCGCAACGCATATGAAGTGTTTGTTTGTTAACATTTGCTTGCTGCTGACTACTCTACATTTTGTTGCCGAATTCTGCCAATAACTGCCGAAGCCGTCATTTACCCTATGTTCGCCATCTCGAATGGATTATGTTCCAGAAACAATGTTACTTAAAATCTAGAACATTTATTATGAGCCAGAATTATGATTCTTCGTCCAATGTCTGAATAAACTAATTTCGTTGCCGAGTAACGTTGGTAGATCATCTTTTCGTGGTGCGTTCCTGGTATAAGATCTAACACCGAAGCTTAGTTCTAACTACAGTCAAGATTCCTATAGTACGGTTAATAGGGACCGGCATTAACGAATACGCGTAGCATATGGGATTAGACTATTAGAGCTAATTGAAGACAAACGCTTATTGTAGGGCACTGGCGTGCACAGGGTGGGGCAAGGTGGGGCAATTGCCCCTCCTTTTATAAATAAGATGTTTATTTTCACATTACCAAATTACAATATAAAATAACTTGTTTTCTTGATAACTTGATTTGAAGGTAAAATAACTCCATTTCATACTATAAGGGCACTGAAAACCTTTTATTGCGTCAATTCCTGTGAGATGGTGTCTGAAAATTGCACTACAAAGGTGCATGAAGGGACAAACTTCAATGAATTTTTTTGGTCAAAAAATTGCACCACAGTGATGCATACAAAAAAATTCTGGTGTATTTTCTTTTTCAATGTGGTTCATGGAGGGATAAAAGAACCTTTGTGGTGGTAAATCTAAGAGAAAGCTTTTTATTGAATATCTGGTGTAAAAATATCATCAATTATGGAGGGACTAATCAAAATGAAAAACTCTGGTGGAAAAATTGAATCACGCTAAAAATTTGGAGGTGCACCTTTAACTGAATATTTCTGGTGGACCGTTCGCAATACTGTTGTGAATGTAGAAGAAAGGTTTAATCATTTTTCTGGTGCATAATTTGATGAATGCAACCTTCATTGAAAATTTATGGTGGAAAATTTGCACCATTCTGGTGCCTGAGAATTGCACCACAAAGGTGCATGGTAAAGCAAACGTCACTGACAATTATTGGTGCACCATTCTGGTGAATGGAGGAGAATGCTTTATTGAAAATTTCAGGTGCAAAATTTGTATCGCTGCAAATGAAATTAACAGAAAATTTCTGGTGGAAAACTTGCACTGGTCTGGTAAACGGATGGGCAAGCATTTCGGGAAATGTTTGGTCTCAAATTTGCATCCTTTTGCTCAATAGAGGAACAAACTTTAATTATAATTTCTGGTGTAAAAAGGCACAAGCGTAAAAAGGAACAAGCGTAAAAAGGCACAAGCTTTTTAAATGCGCCATTCTTATGATTGGAGGGAACCTGCTTTACTGAAAATTTATGCTGAAAAATCTGAAAATAGGGGCAAGTTTTATTTGGTGGAAAACCTGCTACATTCTTATGATAGGAGAAGCAAGCTATATTGACAATGTCTGGTGGAAAATGGAAAAAAAGGAAATCTGCACCAATCAGAAGATTGGAGGACAATTTTTATTGAACATTAACGGTGAAACATTTGCATCGTTCTGGTCAATTGAAATTTCCTGGTGTACAATTTTCTGGTGTACAATATTCTGGTGTTAAATTTTCTGGTGGCAAGTTTGTATTGAACATTTTTGGTGTAAGATTAAATCTGCTGCATGAAGGGGTTAGCTGAATTGAAAATTCCTGATGTAAAAATTGCACAGTTCTGGTGAATGGAGGGGCAAGCTTTATTGGACATTTCTCGTAGAAAAACTACAATGTTTTGGTAAATGGACGGACAACTTAAACTTGACTTCCGAGAAGAACCTCAAGGGTATTGAGTTCTGAAGAGAAGTTCCAAAAGAAAAGATTTCTGGGGATGATTCCATGAAAATTCTGCGAATAATTTCTAGTCAATCTTGCAGATAGCTGCAAGATAATTTCGAAAATAATATCGAGTAAATCAAATTTTGAATGAAATTCCAAAGAGATGTTGGGGAAAATATCAAGGAAATTCCGAGGATAATTTCAAGTTCATTTTGGGAAGAATTTCTAGAGAATACAGAGGAAATTCTACGGAAACATTAGGGGAATTTCAGTTCCAAGGTGTCCTGAGAAAAAAAAATATTTCTGGAGAGAATTCAAAGAAAATTCTGCGGATAGTTTCTAGTGCATTCTGCAGATAGTTACAAGATAAAATACCGAGAAAATGAAATCTTGTGTGAACTGCCAAAGGGATTTTAAGCAAAATATCAAGCGAATTCAGAGGATAATTTCTAGCTCATTCCGGGAATAATTTCTGAAACTCTAAAGGAATTTCAGTTCCAAGGTGTTCTGAGAAAAAAATCATGAAGAATTGTGAATATAATTCCAGTGGACTTCTAAGAAGAGTTTCAAAAGAGCTCTTCGGAGAGTTCTAAAAAATCCGATATTGAATTCTGAGGACTGTTCCAAAAAATTTCTGGGGAGTATTCCAAGAAATGTCTGCGAATAATTTCTAGTGAATCCTGCAGATAGTTTCAAGATAATTCCGAAAAGAATACCGAGAAAATTAAATTTTGAGTGATATTCCAAAGGAATTTTGAGGAAAATTTCAAGGGAGTACCAATAATTTCTAGTTCATTCCGGGAATAATTTCTAGATAATACTGAGAAAATTCTTCTGAAAATCTAAGGGAATTTCAGTTCCAAGGTGTTCTGAGTAAAAGTCAAGAATAATTCTAAAAATAATTCCAGAGGACTTCTGAGAAGAGTTTCAAAATAGCTCATAGAGTTCTAAAAAATTCTAGAAGAACCAAAGGAATTCTGAGGATGGACTTTTTCGCAACTGACAGCTTTTGGATTCCCTAATTGAAAATTAGGCACAAGTTTGCCATTGAACCTTGGACGATTGTTGTCTTAGTAAGAATTTGACTAAGAATCTTCTCTGAAAATTTCAAGTCATTTGTTATCGTGGTTGACATGATCAATCCTTTGCACAAGTCGTCATTCCGTTAAAAATCCTGTACTCGTTTATCAAAATAGTGCGCCTTTGGTCCAATCGTTATATATTTTTTAAACCTTTTAATGATCCTATTAGCCTTGGCATTTAGGTCAAAATTTGAAAAAAAAATTAAAACTACAATTTTCGCTGAAAATGACCAAGTTCAACGTTCTCGCAACGGTAACAGTAAAGTGACTTCAACAACCTATAAGGGCTTACAAAAATACTTACTTGAAATAGTCAAAAATTGTAACGATGTCTTCAAAATATACAAAAACGTACTGTACAAAATTTCAGAAAGGTAACTGAAGAAAAGGTGATACCAGTACCTTGAAGAATATATTTTCTTTGATTTGTTTTTTTAACCTGTAAAGAAGAGCATGCCGCAAAAAATTATTACAACGATTCCTACAGGGTTCAGAAATTGGAAGAAATCGACCGAGATGCTGGGCAAACACAATAGCAGTGATACCCATGTTGGAAGTATGGAAGCGTGGAAGAATTTCAAAACCAGGAAGGCTATCGACGAAGAACTGGACCACAAAAAAAAACAGCTATGATTACTGCTAGTAAGGCAAAGCGGCAACAAAATCGCTATATAATGGAACATTTAATCGGTATTGTGCGCATTCTTTGCAAAGGTAGCCGACCACTTTGTGGAAGGAGCGGAAAGTGTGCCACCCAGTTGGTGGCTAACTACGATCCTGTGCTGGAAAAACACTTGGCGGAAGGTGCCAAAAATTGCCAAATGTAATGTAAAGAAGATGAACCACCGCCGGAGCAAAAAATAAATAAAATTAGCTAAATCGAACAGTAGGGAAAAAGTGGGAGGAGGACAGCACCATCTACCACGTACTTTGCAGTATGTACTCCCTATCCCCAGATTAAATGCACCATAGAAAAAAATTGCCCCTCCTTAACAAGATTCCTGTGCACGCTAGTGTTGTAGGGTAATTTGAAGAGATAACTTGATGTCTTCTGAAA